TGAACTGTGTAGATATTACTAGTACTGATGTTCTGTCCACTCAGCATATGGTATATCCTGTAGTTTGTGATTATATATCAGAGTAAAAAACCTCTAACTTCTTTTTTCCCTCCACCGTACATTTCATAAGCTAAGCAATGGAGGGGCCGACCGCATTTATCTTATCTTTATCTTTAGCTGGAGGAATTTGTCTTTAGTCACTTTAGCACGAATGAAGAACCAGGAAACAAAAGCAAAATTAGAATTATATAGGCTGGAAAGGGGCTTCTACTGTAAATACTTTAGCAAAAACATATAATGAAAAGTTCCCAGACTGCTTATAGATTTATCTCTGGAGCAAATACATAATTTTTACACATCACATCTGCAATTTTCTCAGCTTTAATTTAAACCCTATTTTATAGAAATCAGATAAGAAATGAGGGTGCTGTGAATATTTTTGTGACAGATAGACGCACATCCCACATTGAAACTCTGCTGTTTTGTTGACATGACTCAATGCGTAGCAATGGCTCCTATGATGGCGCGTCCCTAGCTATAGCGGCTATAGGCGATGTCCAATCCGGTAATATAGATCAATGATACCAAGCCTTTTCTCCTCAGAGCTCCTTATTACAGCACCACCAGCCCCCCACACAAGCCCCATCCCTTCGTGTACACAAACCACATCAGATAAATGAACAGCTGCTGGCCTGATCCTTTGCAGSAGCTGGTTGCTGTTGTGTACTTTGAAGTGTTCCCAAAGGTCTTTGGATAATTACCTGTTCTTCTTCCCCAGCTGAGTGACCAAATGTAATACTCACTACAGTACCACAATGGTGACAGTATAAAAGAGTAAATCCTCTGTGTTTTCTTTCCTAATTACTTGTAATARTAGGGAAACTGGAATTATTTTCTCCTGACAGTGCGTAAAGACCAGGGGCCTCATATACAGACTTGCATGGACTTCTTACTGAAACATGGCACAGGGTCAAATCAAGAAAATGGAGTACGCACAAAAAAATCCCTATGTATCAAACCATGTGTAAACTGGAATCCACACACATTTCAGTGAAGTCTTTGATGTAAAGTGAGGACCTCTTCAAAGTCCTCATTTTGTTTGCAGCTTTACTAGTTAGGTTTAGACGTTTGGTGTGAGTTTAGTTCTGGTTCAAGTTAGGGTTAACTATAGACCAGTAATGGTTAATTTTAGGGAAAATGTCTGGGTTACACATAAATACAGTTACAAAAAGAATGGAAGTCAATACAAAGTCGTCAGTTTGATGCAAGTACAAGGGTGTGTGTGGGGGGGGCACATTTTTGCTACATCGTGGGAACTATTTTCCAGAAAAAGGCAGCCTTTTGGGGATCGAATGTGGGTACGGATGCTAATTTTGTCTGGGGGGTTAACTTTAGGACTAATGTCTGAATAGAGTTTAGGTTAGTGTTAGGGTCAGGTAGGTGCATGTGAGGTTAATTTTAGGGTAAATGGTCAGGGATAGGATATAAAATAACCAAAAAATGAATGGAAGTCAAACCACGGTTCCCACGGGATTATTAAAACAAACATGTGTGGGTGGGTGTGTGCGCATGTACATGTACACTTTTTTCTGTTTTACAGTAAAAAAAAATGCAAGTGGTTTCAAAATAGAGTGTTTTGTTGGTATAAGCTTTATTTTAAGATACACACACCATTACTTCCATCAACATCATTTTCTTAAATAAGTGAAGTCGCACTTTTTAAACTTAAGTTGTTTTTTAGAACATGGTGAGCCCAAGTCATTTTTTTAATAGTTCATCTTTTCTTGTTATAATGTTATAAAAACTACAACAACCTATAAGAAATCTAAAAACTGAACTTTGCAAAACAAAATGGAGCTGTGTCATGAGTACTGTTCTTTTGGTGACAGAGGGCTGGAGCCGCTCAGTGTGGGGTCCAAACATCCACGAGTTCCGTCGGCGCTTTGACACGGCCGAGACGAAGGGCGAGGGCACCCGGCGGCTCAAGAACCTCTACTTCCTGTATCTGATAGAACTGCGAGCACTCTACAAGGTGGCGCCGTACTTTGAGCGAGCCATCGTCAACCTGTACACTGGAAACAGTCCGGAGGATGGAGACACCAAGGACCTGCTGCTACAGATCTTCAATGAAATCAAGTAAGGAAACGACAGTCTGCTAAACTAATAGGCAGTAMGCCCRCACATGTCCCCTCTACAACGTTAAATAGTAAGCCAGAACCTGGATAGGTTTTGCAGGGTTTTGATGAGTTTTTCAGGGGCGTACTGAGGCAGGGACCTTGGTGCTCTGACCCTGGCTTACCATGTTGAATGGAGTGGATTGATGTTGGACATTACTAGACTTATTAATAATTCATCTGTAAGACAAATTATAGTGTCTAGGGACAGTCCCTCGCTAATAGTGAGGATTACCTGTCCACCCACTAATAGGGACAAAGTGGGGAGGCTCAGAGATGACCRCCATTTGGAAGTTCTTAATGGTTAGTTTATTTGTTTATTTGTTTGTTGAGAGGAGGGGGGGGAAGGTATGGGGCAGAGCCTTGTCGACATATCCAGTCAGGAAGAATTTAGTCAAAAGATCAAGGCCGTTGTCAGGGYGATCCAGATTCTGTAATCAGTTGTTTTGGGAACAGAAGAGACAGGCAGACGATAAARAATTTTCCAWCTGCTTTAGTGTCCTGCTGGTGCATCTCAAGGTGGCGATTCCAAACAGGCGAATGGTGTGGACAAATTCCACGGAGCCAAATCTATCAGCTTCCTCCAAGATCCATTCCATCTGGCCAGACAAGTCCAGGGACCACAGCCAGCCCACGACTCTCAATAGAACCGCTTACAGACCGAGTCCAGCTCGCTCAAGGCACAATGTCCAAGTGCTGATAGAACACGGCCACCCATCAAATTGATCAGTCAGCCAGGAGATGAAAAGCCACAGATGCTGATTTGTAGAACACCAGGAGACCACCAAACCAATCTGTAGAATCCAGTGATCGAAGTCCAAATGTATATCCAGAACAGAGGTCCCATCTTTGACATGTTCTCCCATGGAAGAAGAAAAAACTTTGTTCTTTTTTTTAAAATAGGAGAAAAAGAAAGAGAAAGAAAAAAGTGAAATGTAATGAGAAAGAGTGAAAGAGAGATTAGAAGATA